AAAATAATATTACACGTAAATCGAAATTTTTTCCTTCTTTTTCAACCACTCATTTTTCTAAAAAATACTATTCCCCCCATTTTCATTTTCAGGTAATGGGGGTCAAACGGGGGCTAAATGGAAATGGAAATCATTATTCCAACAGTTAGACCCAAGCCCAATTCTCGCCAATAGACACTGGCAGCTTGCTTCCAAGCCTTGCCTTATATGATAAATGTGGCCATGACCCAAAGGAGTCTTTATGGGCATCTCCAATGATTGTACCATTGCACCATTTTTTGTTGCAAAGTTGTTCCAATAGAACATCAAATTTTGCACCATTTTGATTCAAAATGGTGTAAAGTAAATACTATTGCATCATATTTGGTGCAACACTATTCACTTTGCACCAAAATGGTGCAAAGTGTAAAATGTCTCTTTTACCCTTATTTAACGTTTTCCAAATAAATTTGTTAAGTGTATTTATGTTATATACTTTTCAATACAATAAATCATTATTATTTTTATTAATATTGATACTATTATTATTATTTACATTTAAAATAAATTTTAAATGTAAGACATAATAATTAATAAATTAATTAAAAGACGAAAAACAATTCAAAATACAACAAACACGATTATTTATTAAAGTTAACACGAAATATATTAAACAACGACATACATACGATAATCTAATTTGATTTCATATTTTCGTTGTTGTAGTATTTTTATTAATTGTTTCGTATTTTTTATATTTATTAATGAATTTAATCTTTTTCGTAATTTAACGTAATTATTTATTTAGTAATTTATGTGTTTATAAAATAATTAAATAAATAATATTTCAAATAGATAAATTATAAAGAATAAAAAAAGGGAAGAAAATCGTTAAACACTGTTCATTTGGTATAACTTTTAGTGTAATGGTTGGAGATGAATTTTAGTTTAGTACAAGATTTGGTGTAAAATTTGGTGCAAAATGGTGCAAAATTTGATGTAGGGTTGGAGATGGCCTAAACAATTGTACAATGCTCAAGTCAAGGCTCCTTCTCACTCGTTGCCTAGAGGCGCTGGTTCAAGTCCAGCTCGTGACGAAGGGCTATCTTTTCTCTTAATTTATAATTGATACAATATCAAACCACCTTTTACATCTTACACATTTAATCAAATCATTATAACACTTTCACGTGATCAATCTATCAAGTGAGGTATACAAATAGCTTAATTTATTTTTAAAAACTATCATTGTGATCAATACACGTGAAGTGGGTTATCTAATATATCGTTCAATGAAGTTGTCTTGAACTTTAATATAGCTCCTGTTTGTCACTAATTATTTTACATTCTATCACATTATTTTTTTACAGTACTCATTTTCAATGAGACATTTTTCATTAAAATAACAGTATATACAAATCAAAAAAATATTCTTTTTTTAACAACATATTCTTACTATTTTATAACACATTTTGAAAAATTAAAGGGACTCAAACACATCCATAATATAAAGTAGTAATATTGCACGTCATTAGTATTAATATTATTAGTCTAGACACTTGATTTATTTATCTAATGGATTGTGATGCATTTAATAAGTTAGTCGATTAATTAGATGAGAATGTCAATTGGACTCATGACCATTGTCACGATAGATAGCATTATTCATTGAATATTTAATAAAGGGGATCCGTGCTATTTATGCTGTTGATAGATTATTTCGTATTTTTTATTTCATTTAACATATTAGGAAAAGTGAAAAATTACTATGGTTTGATTCAAATGAAATAATAAAAAAAACTGAATAACTCTGTAACATATGTATAGAGGAAAAGAGAAGTGATCTATTAATTATCAATCACATTACATATTAATTTATTGATGGATAAATTTATTACGCAACTTATTTAAATTAAATGTATTTTTTATAAAATCATTATTTATAATACGTAGAATACTTTTACTTTATTTAGGAATTGTTTTTGAAAAACTGAAGACATTCAGGTTTTGACATTAAATTATCAAGAGAAAATTTAATAACTAAGAGGTTAAGTATGATTCATTTCAAACCTAAGAACAAAGGTTTCAAATTTCAAAATCGGATTATAAAATTTTATTTTATGATTTAATTAATTATATATATTTTTTTATTAATTAAATATATTAAGGTCTCAATTCTATACAATATGATCACAAATTAAAGATTTAGTTAGTCACATATTATTTTTCGATCATAAATCAAAATTTTTATGGTCACAAATTATTTTATAGTCATAATTTAAAAATTTTATAAGTCATAACTTGTTTATCGATCACAAATCAAAAATTTATAAGTCATAATTTATTTATCGAAACTTATTATACAATCACAAATTACCAAATTATCAATGACAAACTAATAATTTTTTAGGTTATACAGTATTTTTTATCATAATTTATCTTTTTCATCGATCACATATTGAGCATTTGTCACAGATTAATCAATTTAATTGTTACAATCAACTAAATAATTTGTGACCACCTCAACACTTACCACCACAGGTTCACCCTTGTCTCCAATAACATCACCACCACCGTGGTCTCCAGAGCCACCATCACCTCCTCCCTCTAGCAACCCTTTTTTTTTTTTTTATTTTTAAGGTCAGAAAACTGAAATAATTTGTCACAAACACTATTCGTCCCACTCCATTTGCGTCGCCGTCGCACCGCCACCACTTCCACCAACAAAACCGCCCCAAACCCCAACAACACCAAAAAAACCACCAACGCCCATCTAACATCCCAAAAAAAAAAAAAATCATCTTTATCACTGCGATTTGTGCCTACTACAACTACGATCTGCTCCGCCATCGTTGTCATGCCCACCGGACCACCACCACCACCCTCACCACCACGAAAACATGGAATCTACCAACAACTAAAAAAAAAAAAATCATCATCAACATCGTGATTCGCACCATCTGAACCCATCTTCATCTCAAATCTGCTCGAAAATCTTAGATCGACACTACTATCAAATCAAAGGTGAGTGGGCATGGTGGTAGCGCAAGTGACATCGCGACGGTAGAGGGAGATGGGAGAGGAAGAGAGAATGGAAAGGTGAAAAAAGAGATGCTATGAGATCTTAGATCGACGAACGACATATTCAGGTGGGCATGGTAGCGACGATAATGACTGTGGACTATTGGCAGTGATGCAGTTCTTAGAAAAAGCGAGTAGAAAGAGATGGGAGTAGAAGAGAGAACAGGTGGGTGCTAGAGAGAAAGAATAGATAGGGAAATAATTAGGGTTTGGAAGTGTAGATGATAGTAGTGGCGTGGATATGTAAAATAATTTAGTTTTTGTAATATTATTATTAATATTTTTAATAATATAATCTGATTTTTGTATATAAAAACTTTAAATCTAATTTTTGAAGTTGAATCTTGAAAATTCTGGTTGAGTGTAATTTCCACAATTATCAATTTCTAAAATTTTCCATAGAGGCCCAGCCTTTTTCCATAAAAATCAATTAGTAGCAGACAATTTTATCAATTTTTCTTAATAAAGGTTACAACAAAAATTAAATTTTTTTAGAGAAAATTGTAACAGCGGTGTCAAATCTTTTCAATTTTTGCAGACTTTACTCTAACCTTTCAAAAATATGCAGTAGAGGTCCAACTGGATGGAAACCATTCATTTGACCAAAAAATTGACATTGATCACAATTTTGACTAATTTAAAAAGGGCAAATGGTAACTTTACATTTTTGTACATAGAATAATTAAATAAAAAACCAAAAATAATAAAAGAAATCTACCCCACCCACCTACCCTCATGAAAACAAAAAGGCTAAAGATCGACACTTTCTTCTTCCCTAACTCTGACTCACACTGGTCATCACCGGAACCCACATCGCCAATCGTCACCGGCACCAACATCGCGGGCACAGCTTTTCGAAGACAGTCTCCACTACTCAAAGGCTGTTGGGTAGATTATGAAAATAGAAAATGTCGATGTGTAGAATATGAAGTCAAAATTAGAGTAATTTGTGACACAATTGGATCAATTGAGGGTATACCCATCATTATTCGTTGTTGCTAAGGGATTTTTGGGTTGAATTTCTTAGAAAAGACCAATTTTTGTGAAAAATCATTTCCAAACCTTATCAATTGACAGAATTGCCTCATTTTGCTGTCGAGGCAAACCTCTATCAAACGTAGCTTTTTTGGACGATGTCTTACCATTATTCGAAGCACCTGGGTGAGGCGAATCGATTGGCAACGATGCCCAACTATATGTGTCACTAGAGTTGCTGAATTTTGAAGTTGGATCGCGTGATTGTATGAGTTTTCTTGGTTTTATTTTCAAATGTACGATGCCAAATATGGTGGCAATAAAAGGTGCCAGAACTGGTAGTGGATGGGGGTGGGGGTAGTGGCAATGTGGGTCGAAGGTGGCATTGTGACTGTTTCTGGTAAGATTTGTCGGAGAAGAAGAAAATAGGGGTTTTTTATTGGGGAGGTAGGGTGGGATGTTTTTGGTTTTTTATTTCTTTTCTTAATTTTGTTTGATTTTTTATAATATGGAATTAACTAAGTTACCATTTTAATTTTACACTTACTAAATTGTAGTCAATGTCAATTATTTGGTCAACTAACGGTTAAATGGATGGTTTCTATCCAGTTGAACTTCTTCTGCATATTTTGAAAGGTTAGGGACATTCATTGGCACAAAATAAAAATTAGGGTAAAATCTGTAAAAATTGAAAAGGTTGAGGACCGTTGCTGCAATTTTCTCAATTTTTTATGCCCGACCTCTAAATTTTGCGAAAGACTATCAGGGGCATAACTGAAATTTACCCCCAACTGTGGGGTTACAAACACATAAAAAGAATTGGGCCGGAAATTGCTTCGGCACAAAGCAAACTGGTTCGGGTCAGAAGCTAAAGGGACGCGTGGAATCCTAATGTTATCTGAACGCCACGTCAAGTATCTTTTTTTTTTCAATCCGAAAGGGGAACCCTCGAGATATATTAGTATAGTATTACTAGGATGTTTCTTAAGAAGGCTATAAATACCCTGCAAATACCTCTGACTAATCGATTTCACTCTTGCATTCAAGAAAATCTCTAAAACTAATCGTCGGAAATTACAAAAAAGTTAACTGAAGCAAACAGGGAAAAGCTGAGATTTTGTGAAGGACGCGCAATTTTGGTGAAGGGAATCAGTCGAATAGTTGCACGTCAACTGAATTTGTTGAAGGGTACGTTGATTTCATCTGATATCTTATGTTTTTGCTACAGGTTTGTGTGATTTTTATGGATTATTTAATTTGGGGCGAGGGGATCTTTTTTTTTTTTTTTTTTTTTTTTTTTTTTTTATTTTTTTTTTTTTTTTTTTTTTTTTTTTTTTTTTTTTTTTTTTTTTTGTTGGTTATAGATAAAAACTTTAGGTTATAGCTGGGAATTTTATGAGCTTTATTAGAATTTATCTGCTGAAGTTGTGGGTTTTATTTCGACTTTAAGGTTTGAGGCTTTTATCCATAGATTGTTTGGCTATGAAAAAATAATTTCTTTTAATTATTAGATTTACTCCAAGACATTGGCACGCTAATGTTTTGGAGGCGTGTTCTGTAAATTTCTTCGAGTTGTAACTGATTCTTGTAACCTCTGCTAGCTGATGTTCCTCTAGTGCTCAGCTGAATTGGTTTTTAGTTATTCTGATTTGTCCTATACAGATTCTTTCATTGTAAAACAATTGAAGTTGGCAGTGACGAAAGGAGCTTAAGTGTAAGTGGAAGGCTTAATTTCTTTTGCTTGTGCAGTCTGATTGCTAACTTGTGTGTTGAATCTTGGTAATGATAACAAGTCACTCCATGAGCTTCAGGTCGAGTTGAATTGTTCTTTTACTTGGGAAGATGGCTGAAGTTATGTTCTTTTTGCAGAAAACCACATATGGGATTTCCCAATCAAGCTTTTAATCCGGTGTCTCAACCCTTGGACTGTTCAAGAAAGAGGAAGTCGAGAAGAAGAAGGGGTGGATCTAGAAGTGTAGAAGAAACACTTGCAATGTGGAAGGATTACAATGATAAACTAGATTTTCTGGATGATGAAAATACGCGCAGGCTTAGGGCTCCTGCCAAGGGATCAAAAAAAGGATGCATGAAGGGTAAAGGAGGCCCCGAAAATGCTCGTTGCAAGTACAGAGGTGTGAGGCAGAGAACATGGGGTAAATGGGTTGCCGAAATTAGGGAACCACACGGGGGAAGTAGGCTGTGGTTAGGTACATTTAGCAATGCAATTAAAGCTGCTTTTGCTTATGATGAAGCAGCAAAGGCGATGTATGGAAATCATGCTCGGCTAAATTTTCCAATTTACAGTTCATCGAGAGGCAAAGAGTTATCTTCAATGCCATCTATATCTACATCTGACTCCATGGAATCCTGTCTCGCTGAGGTTTGCCTCCGGGATGATGTCACAGTGAAGGCCGATGCTTCCAAGATAAAGCAGGAGGATGGTAAAGGTGAGCCATGGACTGACGATAGTAGGTCTCTTGTGCCGCACAAGGCGGGTGACCCTATGAGCACTGTGAAGGAGCAAGTAAAGAAAGGACCCGTGAAGAACTCCACAAACAACACACAAGTTGGTAGGTTCGATATAAAGGACGAGCCTACTATTGTTAATGGCCTGGGATCTCAGGCTGGACAACATCAATTAGAGAACTTTTCATTTGACGAGATGTTTGATGCAGACGAGTTACTGGGTGCTTTGGATTACGTTCCTCGTGTTTCAGGGCCTCAAAATGGAGTGAGTTCATATACTAATGAAGCAGGACTGGGTGCCTACAGCAATTTACAACATCCAGACTTCGCATACCAATTAAAGAACTCGGACCCGAAGTTTCTTGGCAGTTCGCCTCCTGTGGAGCAGGAACCTTTAGAAGTTGATTATGGATTTGATTTCTTGAAACCTGGGAGACAGGAAGATTTTAATTTCACATTGGATGATTTGTTCCTCGAACTAGATCCCTACTTACCTCTATAATGTGCTGGCGATGGTGCAGGATTATCAATCGCGTTTTCTTGCACACGCTTGCTGATATGTAGCTTTGTTTTGTGGCTTTCATTAACTCTTGAATATAGGAACAGTAGTCGACATGGGAATGTTCTTTTTGTGCCAATTCCCTTGTCTTCTCTGCTAAAAGATCCAAGGTTTTAGATTGGATGAGTATACTGACTGTTGTCTAGAATTAGTATTTCATTCTAGTTATAACCATCTTTCTGTACAGACAAAATTATCCATTGAAAATATAATAAAATTTTTTTTTCATATTGTGTTCTATTACGCATAGATCATGGTAGAAGACATTGGAATACAATGTTCAAATATGCACTGAATTATCTGTGGTTACCGACCTAGTGTCTAAACTCTGGCTATTTTTGATCCTTTACCCGTAATTGTCGTTATGTTAAATTCTCTTTGTTGTACTATCCTTGATGACTGGTTCAAGATTAACCTATTCGAGCGCGATCTATTGTAGAATGTTCATTTGTTTAGAAGCATCAACTTTTTAGTAGTACAAGAAAGGCGTTTTCAATTATCCAGTTCAATTTTACGAACTTTGTTCATGGTGATGAGTTCTTGACAATATTTATGTTACAAAAACAGAAAATCTAAAGAATTGGGCGAAAACAGGACAGGGAGGGGAAGTTTTCTGTTCTTTGTTCTCTTCTAACGTTGGGGGAACTGCAAGAATCCTTTTTACACGTTAGGTGATTTTATATCTTAGTTGATTTTATCAGAAAATCTTCAAAGTTTCCACTACTACATGCTGTGTACTGATCCTATTAAGGATAGAAAAGCTTGGCAAATAAAAGCTCATTCCAAGTGTCTTGAAGCCCGGGTAAACACCAATGCACACAATCAGCATAGCTCACTGGGTTTGCCAACTGTTTTGGGGTTAACGGGCTCCATTGTTTCTTGTAAATAGATGTATGTGCATCTTTTCTGTAACTTGAGAGTTGGGTGATGTTGAGAAACGTAATTGGAACCCTTGATTTGCTGAATACTTCACTAATCACTCCCATTATGCTTCTTCGACTGCCTGATCCCCAGTACTCTGGATCTTCTATTGGGGTTGTTTCATTGTAACAGTTGCCATTTGGATCTCCTCCCCATTCAAAGCTCCTGCACAACACAGATGATCGGATATATAGGCATATTCAATAGATATAGATTTTAAGCACCGTACTTGTACTAGTAGGATTAAAACTATTTGTAAATACTTCCTAGACATGTTCTGCTAACATCGCAAGAGGAAAGGAAAATGTAGAAAAGTGTGAAGTATATGACATAAAAATTGAAGTTATTAAAAGAGGTTATGATATTTTCGTTTAAATCTTGTTTTCTTCACATCCTATGCACACAAATGGAAGTTGTTTATTGAGTCTAAATATTGTTCTACTTACTTTTCATGCGAAGGCGACATGCTGGTAAAGAAGACTCTCGTTTTATTGGGATCCATATTCTTCTTCACCCATCTCAACATGCTCTTCATGGCCATACGATAAGCATCATCCGTTGGTAGTGTCACAATATCCTTCTCTTCATCATCAAAAGATCCTTGCCTGTAAACAAAAGTTTCAAGAACCAGAAAAAAAGGCAAGAAAATACTATGTATTTGGGAGTGGGAATTTACAGAATCTTGAATCTTAGGCCAGTCATCCACCATAGATAAGTGTTGAACACAATTATATCTGCTCCTTTCCAGTTTTTCCCATGCTTATTTATCGAACCTTTGCGAACAAGTCTGTCAGTTACTCTGTGAATGACTGCATCATCTGAGTTTGATTCCAGAAGAAATGGTGCCCAGTAGAACTCTATTGTAGCATTGTAATCCTACATGTATATAGAGGTTTAGAAAGAAAATAGAATTCTGTACATTGCATTTTTTATCTTTCTTGCCCAATAGAAACAAATAAATACTACGTGAAAGAAAGATTTTTAACCATGTTATGGTTTTGAAGGTGTAAAATGAGTTAGAGTTGAATTGACAGGTCAACTGTAGTCATATTCCATAGTCCATATCACACTTGCCATGTAGCCCCTTTTTGGACTTCATTTTTAATTAAGGTGCTTCGTAAAAGACATATCGACTATTTAATTTGAGCGTTTGCCCAATCCCATTGTGGCTAGAAAGGATTTGCTCTATAACAGTTATGCCTTGACATTCACAATTGTAATAAAGTTAGGACTAAATTGTATCGCAACTCAGAAATACTTTCTTTGTAAAGAAAAGTTCCAGCCGGGCTATGCTATTCTGTTAAAAAAAGAAAAGGCAAGTTTAGGAAATAGAATCTAAAATAATATTTGAACTACGAAAAGGAAAGCAAATTTATTGGTAAAAAGGAATATGACATACTGTGCAATCAGGTCACTTTATTAAGAGAAATAGTCTAAATTTTTATGACCCCGTTTGGTATCCATTTTTGTAAGAATGAGAATGAAAAATATAATCATTACGGGACCTACAAAAGGTATAGAAAGTCAATATGGTGGTTTCATGTGATGAATAAATGTCATATTTTTCATTTTTGTGGTCAAAGAATGAGAATGAAACGAGGGCTATATATTGATTTATATTTCAATATTTAATCGATGTAAAATTTATCCCTTAATAGCATATTTATACAGAAATACATGACACAAGTCCGAGAGCAAGAAATTGGACAGAATGTGTGTGTGTGAGAAAAAGAAAAAGGCGGAAGAGAAAGAGAAACAAACTAAAAAATGGTACAACTACAAATGGATTTAATCTGCTTGTACAAAAAAATACTTCACAGAATTGCACAAGATGCAAGTGTGGCAGTCTCTGGTTTGATATGCTCTTTAATATATATAGACCATTATCTGGCAGATTGTTATCAAGTGTCTTTTGTATAAATTCTGAAAACCAAATTCTGTATGTGTAGAATTGCTGCTATAATTATGTGTATCATGTACTTATCTTCTAGTTTATGCTTGTGTGTGTGAGGAAGATTTGTATCATTTGGTCTTTTGAGTTGATTGCTTCTTCTTTTCTAATAATGATCAATGGTTTACTCAACCACGTTTAGTTAGTGTCTCTCTCTTTTTTGCTCATTTTCACTTTCTCACTTTTATTTGTTTCAGCTAAGTTCATTGCAGATTTGCAGTAGACTTAGGAGATTATATTCAATTTTATTTAATTGAGCGTATCAAACAAATTAACAATATTTTGAAGAATTGAATATATCACCTTGGCTGTGAAAACAGTTAAAGAACCCAAAGTTTTCATGGATTTGGCATCTTCAGGGATGACTCTATGTAAAAGACATATCATTGAAACATATTGACCCCGATTTAAAGAATCTCCGACGAACAACATTCTCTTTCCTTGGAGGCTTTCAAGCATCAATGTGGCATTGAAACTGTAAAATTAAAATTAATTTCCATTAGTACATAACAAAATGCGTATACCCCAAAACTCATAATTTTTAATTTTCTTTTATTGAGGTCCATGTGGACCAAGTTAATGGGCTTGAATAAGTGGACAACCCAAAATGGTTGGCAGCCCGGCCCACTCTGGAGGTAAAGCGCTATCTACTCAACTAATCATTAGTGGGAGAGGTTGAACTAACATTTGGTATGATGTCAAAAAGAAATTTGTCTTCGGTCAAAGGAAAAAAATTTGTTATGCTAATGGTGATTTACTTAGTAGTTTAAAATTTTGCATTAAACATGCCAACAGTCTAGATTAATAAACCGCAGTCATATACATGTACGTTATGGTATTCATAAGGGTGTCTCTAATGTAGATATGAAATTCTATGATTGGAGGATTGAAAAAACTTTTAAAGAAATTTGTCTTCGGTCAAAGGAAAAAAATTTGTTATGCTAATAGTGATTTACTTAGTAGTTTAAAATTTTGCATTAAGCATGCCAACAGTCTAGATTAATAAACCGCAGTCATATACATGTAAGTTATGGTATCCATAAGGGTATCCATAATGTAGATGTGGAATTCCATGATTGGAGGATTGAAAAAACTTTTAACTACACATTTCATGGAATTCAAAGCTTTTATCAATTTTCTAATCTTATGTTTTATCAACTTTTTTCAAAATCTAGCAAAACTAAATAGGGACTAAATGTTTGATTAAAAGTTGATAAGGGTTTGGATCCCATAAAACATATAACTACAATTAATATTGACGTTGACTTAAATTTCTATCTACGTTTTCAACTAAACCAAACATGGACTACTCAAATTCATGGATCACTCTCTCAAATTACATAACAATCATGCTTTGTAAACACCAAGTTTGACACGGCAAACCACCATTCGTCAATTTAAAAAAAAAAAAAACAAAAACAATAACAAAAGTTTTCCGGATCACAATTTTTTGAAAATAAAAGCAATGTCAAACTTGGTGCCAAGAAAATAGTGTACAAAAGGCAAAATTCATTCCATAAATATATAAGTTGATTGCATGCTTAGCAAAATGCAGAAACTGACAAGTTTTTCGAATGACAACAACATATACTTATCGTAAATAAAATAATAACAAACCTTGGAAGTGAACAGCCATGAGGCTGCCATCTCCAATGCTGATACTCCTTCTCCGGCCGGCCATGTTCTTGACATGTCAACTGCGGCTGAATGTACGGACACTCCCACTCCTCGTAAAGCGGCCGAGCCTTCTTGTCTCGTACCCACCTCCCTTTGAAAACATCGCAGCCCCTCTCAGTCTCTCCAATGGCGAAAGCCAACTTTTCACTGTTCTTCTCTAACACCACACAAATTAAAAGCCCCACGCTTTAGCAATATGTATGCACTGCATAATTGTACCATGTAAGCATCTATAGTTCACTTTACTAGATAGAAATCAACATGATGATAAATGGACAAATTTTAGCCCATATATATGCTCCAGTTTGATGTAGATTAAAACCAGATTTTTAGTATATTTTGATAAAAATTGAGAAAATGTATGGTTGAAAAGTTGTGAACCCCATAAAATACGTCGTCAAAATTAATTGTTGTGCACGAACTTAGAATAAAGGACAAATTTTAACTTTTTTCTTCATGCAGTTATATCTAATCTAATTTAGCATACCAAACATGAATGTATTTTTTAAGTCTCTTACCGGTTGAAATGGTGTGCAGGTGGCTATGGTGATCAGAATCAAACTGGCCAAAGGTGCAGCTGAAATCTTCCCCATATAGGAGGGTGACTAAGAAGATGAAGACTAATAAGGCGAAAAGATAAGGCGAAAGACGGGCTTTGCGCAGGAGGATGGCTCTGGAGGCGGAAGAGGACGGTGGTGGCTTCATCAGTTTGAAACCTTTTAGGCCGGCCTCTCTGTTTTCTTTGTACTTTGGTTTGTTAAGAGAAGGTAATCGGTCCCATTTGGAGCGTGGGATAAATACATGAATGGTATTGGTAGAAGAAATTTAATAATCTTTATTAGTAAAATGTTGCTGTCTTAGCACACAAGTAAAGAAAAAGAAATTGAAATTGTTAGTTATTTTAACTTATTTGATTGAGAATGATTAGACTTTTAACGACTATAATAAGAGATGATTTTCTAATTCAATAAGGTTGGACATTTTCATAATGATGGTTTGAAAAGCTATAAATTTTCTTGGTTTCTAAGATAAGAAATATTGTGACAGATAGAAAATCATTTTCATCTACAATTGGTTCAAAGACGTGCACAAATTATAATGATTTGGTAGGATTTTAGGTGGGAAAATGTTGATTTTTCTGGTCATTTTCAATTTCGTTAGTTGGCACTAGTTCCTAATCTGCATTATTAATTTATCCCATGATCCTTCCTCGAGGGTGTTTTGAGGATTAAAATTATATTATTTTAGTAGATTGTGATAAAAAATTTTAAAATGTGTAATTGAAAAGATGTGGTTAATATTGATTGTTTGATTTTGATTTAAACTTAAATTAAAATTAAATTTTAATTCAAACCAAACAGGCTGCCTCATTAACTTATCCCATGATCCACACGAATGTGAATTTAAAATAAAACTTTCCAAAATGAGGTAAAAAAAAAAAAAAAACAATTCCCAGAGTGCTTTTTAGAAAAACCACTATGGCTACATCTTTAGACATGGTCGAAAACTTGAAGTAAAGGACATTGCACTGTCGGGAAAAAAAAAATTAAAACAATAGGCTAATTATATTATCATTGTTGACCACTTGAGTTCAATTTTAAAAATGTAATTGAAGAATTATTTATTGCGGGCCTAGCTCATGGTCCATCTCAATTCGTTTCTTAAATGGGGCACGCTTTGGAACAAGTGGTCTATTATCAAGTCGGGTTTTTCGTAACCAAACAAGCCACTTCGCCAATGCCCTTCCAAATACAAAGGATAATGCGTGTGATTCAAAGACGAGTTCGACTTTGAAAAGCTATCAACGAGCATGAAACTCTTTCATACGCCAATACCACACTCAATCAATATACCCTCTATTTCCGTAATTTCACCTAATTAACTAATATAACTAACCGAATGATAAAACATGCGGATACGACAAGTCATATGCCTTCGTATATTATTATTGTTTTCATAATTAACATATTTTTGCAAGATAGCAAATCATTTGAGAATATGATTTCAGTTTTTAGGTCGATTGAATTGTTTGCCGAATTTTTTGGACTTCTGAAATGTCAACTTCGTTAAGAGGAGTAGTTCAAATCCTTATATTTTGTTTATTTATTTTATGACTATTAGAATCGGATTTAACCCTTAACATTAAAAACATTTATATGATAATCATATTGTTATATTTTAGCGATGTGAAATTTTGCTCCTACATCTAAGCCCATGTTTGAGTTAATTGTTCCAATAGTTACTGAATTTATATCTTTGTCTTTGATAGATCATTGGAGTTTAAGATGTCAATCTTTGACCACTCAACTCATTCAAACATTGAACGTTACTCACTGATATAACTTTAGTTTCAAATATTTAATGGAATTGGCAACGTGGCTAAGAGAATGCACATGCATCACGTCATTAAACTTTGAGGTAGTCGAATTTTAACCACTAAACTTTGAAAAAGTATTCGATTGCTCACTAAATTTTGAAACAAATTTATATTGCTCACTGAACTTTGAAGTAGATGAATTTGGCCCATTAAATTTTGAAGTGATAGAAATTTGGCCACTAAACTTTGAAAAATATTTATTTTGTTGAAAATATCTTCTATTGCTCACAATAAATTTAATTAAAATTTGTTATTAAAATTTGGATTAATTTAATTTTAATAATAAATTTATTGTGTGTTTCGTTGCAAAATTTAAATTTAAATTTGATTTTAACAACAAAACACACAATAAATTTAAAATTTTCGAACAATGAAAATATCTTAAAATTTTACAAAAATATATTAAAATTAAAATTAACCATCATGTAATTGAGTAATCATTGTTCGTGCGATTAACAACGCTTGCAAAGTTGTACAAAGGAATTGACCTATTAGCATTTGTTTGGCCCCCATTTATTATAATTCTTTTTTCTCTCTCTCTTTTTATCAACTACATTCTCCAATAAGATAATGTTAAATGTAAACTCTAAATTTTTTATTCGTTTTAACTACACATTTTCCAAAAATTACTATGTTCTCATTAAAATGAGAAAATAATGGGACCAAACGGGCGTTTAATTGCAATGATAGACACAATAAATTTGTTGCTAAAATCAAATTAAATTCAAATTTTAAAATTTGAATTAAATTCAAATTTATTATGAGCAGATGAAAACGTTTTTCAAAGTTTAATAACCAAAACTCGACTATCTCAAAGTTCAGTGACTAAAATTCAACCAATCAAAGTTCAGTGAGCAATAGAAGACTTTTTTAAAGTTAAATGAACAATCGAAAATGTTTTCCAAAGTTTAGTGGCCAAAATTCAACCACCTCAAAATTTAACGATATGATGGGCACTACATGTGCATTTCATTTACCACGTCATCAATTTCGTTAAAAGGTTTGAAACAAAAGTTATACTAGTGAATAACGTCCAACGTTTGATTAAGTTAAGTGGCCAAAAGTCAACATTTTAAACTCCAGGGTGCAATCGAAGACATAGTTATTAAGTTCAGTGACCATTGAAACAATTAACTATTGTTTTAAATAAAAAACAGTTTTTTAATAAATTTTAATAAAAGTTTATAGAATGTCCAATTAAATGAACAATCGAAAATGTTTTCGAAGTTTAATGCCCAAAATTCAACCACCTCAAAGTTTAACGATATGATGGGTGCTATATGTACATTCTGTTAGTCAAGTGATCAATTTCGTTAAATGTTTGAAATAGAAGTTATACTAGTGAGTAACATCCAACGTTTGAATAAGTTAAGCGGCTAAAAGTCGACATCTTAAACTCTAGGACGAAATCAAAGACATAGATATAAGTTCAGTGACCTTTGAAACAATTAACTCTTGGGTTAAATAAAAATCAGATTTTCAATAAATTTTAATAAATGTTTATAGAATTTCTGATTAAATGAACAATCGAAAGTGTTTTCCAAAGTTTAGTGATCAAAATTCGACCACCTCAAAGTTTAACAATATGATGGGCACCACATGTACATTGTGTTAATCACATCATTAATTACTTAGAAGTTATCCTAGTGAGTAACGTCCAACCTTTGAATAAGTTGAGTGACCAAAAGTCAACATCTTAAATTTTAGGAAGCAGTGGAAAACATAGATATAAGTTCAGTAACCATCGGGACAATTAACTCTTGGTTTAAATAAAAATCAGTTTTTTAATAAATTTTAATAAAGGTTTATCGAATGTATAGTTGAAAAGTTGTGAGTTTGTTAAAATTAATTGTTGATTTTAATACAAGTTTTTAGTTGAATCAAACATGGGCTAAATAGCATTTTTGTTTCATGATTTTAACAAAATTACCATAGAATTATATTATAAAGCCAAAATAATACAAGAATTAAATGTTTAGAACTAAAAGTAAATTTGTTACAACCACGAAGACATGATAAATCCCAAACTAAGGACTGTTAAGGGCATTCCATCCAGCGCAAGCATAAAGATAATACGGAGAATTGTGAAGGGTCATGATTTACAGGTAAGACTCTTTGAGAAGAGGCTAATCAATTATGAAAAGGAAGTCAGCAGACAATGTGGTCAAAACTCTTGTAGTAGAGCAAATTATAGATTTTTTTTTTTAAATCTGTTTATTTATTGACTTTTTTCCCCACAAAAAAATATTCCACACCCATTATTCTGGACTTATTAAAGAAGCGTGCATTTACATTACAGTCGACAGATAACCGACAAAGGGCAACAATTATACAGAAGTTTTACAGTAATGGAGAATGAATAGAAGGAAGCTATAAACTAATACCTAACTAGCATCCACCAAACTACTTTTATTTATCTTTACTCTAACATTTGTCAATAATAAAGACATAATATAGTCTTATCTTTGCTCCAATTATTATATTTTTTCCGTTGTTAGTGTTAGAGAATATTTTTTATTACCTTATGCATTAAATGATAAATTTTAATGTGTATGTCAAGTAGGACGACTGTCGGTAATCATCAATATGAATAGCATTATTCTAATCGGAGGGGAAACAATTATACTTCTATAATCTTATTTTGACACTTCTTGTGAAAGAATCATTATGCAATGAAATTAAGTGTATATTTGGAAAGTGATTAAATTAAATTTTAAATTGGTAAAATATATTTTTTTTCTCTAAATATTTCGTAGGAAATAGAACTACTATACACTTGGCTATTGTTTGATTTAAATAAAAATTAGATTTTTATAATCATTTAAAGCATGTTTTGGGAACTGTTTAACTGTTTAAATTATAAATAAATAAGAATGAGAAGTGAATAAGTGGGCAGTGTTAAAAACATTTATGTATAGTTTATAAACATAAGCTCAAACATAGTCTTAAAATTTAGCCCTTGTCCAGTATCGATTTTATATTTGGATTTTATCATATTTTGATAGAAATCATTGCGCATATTAAAATTTTTTAGTTCATTATTTCTGTACGGTTCCCATAAAGCACAGTAAAAAAGGTAACTGAATTCATTAAATTTATGTAAATTGTCACTAATATGAAAGGGTAAAATAAGTTATTAAATAATAATAATAGATGTGGCTGAATCAATGTTATCTTTACTAAGAAAGGGTAAAATAAGCATTAATGGTAAAATCCAAAAACTGATTTTACTACGGTACACTTGACATCGCATTAAAAATAAAAAATAAAAAAAATTGATGATCGTAGGAGTCCAAACCAGTTTACGCGCACCTCAATTAATTTCACGGAACCCTGAAATTTGCAGTCCGGTACTCACTTCAGTGACTCTAAGGAGATTTAAACTGGTGACCATTGAGAAGTAAACC